CCTAGCAGGGGAGGTTTCTCCAAACCGATGGGGAGCGTAGTCTCCATGATCTCTCTTGATAATGGGTCACAAGGCTTATCATTTTCGCTTCCCTTGGGAGGTGGTGGCAGGGAATGATGGTTCTTTCCTCGTTGGGGGCTGTTGTCCCGACTAGGATATGTGCTTCTTCGTTGTTGCCTTGGCTTGGGTGACAGTGACATTCGCGGTCAAGTCGATGGTCTCTCTTTGTCTTCTTGGAGGATGGGGAGCTTTGATCTTTCCAGGGAGGCGTGTAATCATGTTTTTTGGGGAAAGAAACATCTTGCCTCTCCCTTCTAGTCGGTCAACCACACCTTGGTGGAGATAGGCTTGGGGAGTTGTATTGTCAGTGTCTCTGAGGGGGAGAGTTTGACATCTTCTTCTCCCACGCCCCATCATGTTGCTCTGTTGTTGGATGAGAGTGTTGGTTTGGTTGAGGACAGCGAGTAGGACTGCCATGGCCGGATCAATGTTGACTGGAATCAGAACTAGAGGGAGGATATCAGGCAGTTCCTCGGTGGGTTTCTTCGAGATCTGATCCTCCAAGAGCTTCTCTAGAAAATGAGGGTCGTCGCGGTCAATGTCGATTGAGTCAGAAGACGCGGGCTGACCATCTCTGAGGTCAGGGATATCTTCCGGACGAGGGGGTCCTCTGTTTGCGTCTGTCTTGTGGATGGGGGAAAGTAAAGTTTTTATATAAAAATGTTGATTGTCATGATCGACCATGATTTTAAGGTATGATTGTATGTTTGGTCTTTTATTTCGAGGAAGAAGGAAGACAGGGAAGATAGGTTCCCACAGACGCCGCAACTGATCTTATGTGTTTATCAAAACCTGAAAGTGGCGAGATGACACCGTCAACTTGGCTAGAAATTTATGGAGAGGATGGGGCGTACCTGTAAGGCACTCCGACGATCTAGTAAGAAAGAGTGCAAACAGATACAAGAAAGAGATTATGATTTTATGAGTGAATATTGGATACCTGGCCCTCACAAGTGTGAGGGTTTATATAATGCTCTCGACGCGTAGCCATTGGTTCCTATTTTAGGGTATAGATATTAGGTTCTGCAAAAATAGGTAACTGCTAGGACTTGTTCAGAATGGGCAATCATATGCCCGTAACGAGCCATTGCTCCGAGCAAGGATGAGATGACGGGCATACACGTTATGAGCGCTAGTCTGGTTGTCTGCTCGACGCGTAGCGAGCAGATCTGAAGATGGCCGCCGAGGAGGATATGAGCATGATTTGGGGCATCGTTGGTCTCGCTGTCCCAGAGGGTAATCGACCAGACGTGCCCAACCAAAGGCCAATTAGTGAGCCAAAGCTGTTTGGGCCATGTAGAAGGTAGACGCAGATTGAGCCAATTCTAGCCATTGGGTCAGTCCAGAACAAAAATGAAACTAGAAAACACGACAACTACAAAACACTTACATTTGAGATTGAATATTTTCTCATTTCAAATTCCATGTCCCCATCATATAAATATAAGAATAAACCCTAAAATAAGAACACGACAACTATATAACTTACGTTTGGGATTTAATATGTTCCAAAACCATAAAATCCAACAAGAACAAACCCCAAAGCAAGAAATTTTCCCCATAAACTGTGAAGAGAGATACACTGAAAGTTAAGAATACCTTTGATTGGAGAAGGATTATTCAATTTGAAAGAGATTATAGACAACAACGTTGTGGTGCTATTGGGCATGGTGGTTGTGCGATTTTATATTCTATTTACATTTCATAGAGAAATTTTAGGGTAAAATGAGTGGGAGTTTAAAATTACAAAAATAGAAATAAAAAAATGAAAACAATATCAATCTTCTCCTAAAAATGGATCGTAAATGAACAAAGAAACCAATTTCACTTAATTACAATGAGATATTTTTATATATACAACTTAAAATATTAGAATTGTTAACTTGCCTAGTGGTAATTTTACATATTTAGCACTAGAGATCTCATGTTTGATTTTTGTGGGCATCTTAAAATTAAATTATTGTTTTTTTATAAAAAAGTGATAAAGGTTGGAATCGAACCCTCGAGTAAAGATAAAAAATGAATCTAACGTACCACTACATTACTATAAAATAATATATATTATAAGAACAAATTTGGTTCTATATCTGACCTTATATTTTGATGATAACTTTACATGTTATTTTTGAGAACAATTGTGTACTCTAACAGTTTCTGTCTAGTGTGTGGCTTTTGCTATACATGTTATGACTTTGATAAGAAGGCGTGTGATGTCATCAGGTTCTAAACTCAACACTCTAGAATAATACCTTTGGTGTGTTACATGTTAAGTTAAGATTAAAGAATGCGTCTTATGGAACAGTTCTAAGGAACGTTAGTAAAAGAGCTTCTGATCGTGACTTATTCAAGGAAGCTTTGGAGGCCTTCTAAAGCTTTACTTTTGTTGTTCCAAGTTTTGAAGATGCTGAAGACAAATTTCTGCTGAACGAGTTCCGAAGATCTGAAGACATTCTTCTGAAGACCAAATGCTGAAGACTGAGAAGGCAAGAGTTTTCTGAACAAGCTCTGTAAGATTCTAATGACTTAGGTTCTGAAAGATACATAATTATGATCCTTCTACAACATGCTTCATCAACAAATATATCATAAGCTTCTGAAGATATAGAAGACGAAAATCAAGACTAAGGAATTACGTGTGATGGTGAGTATAAAAGTACAAAAGTATACCGTGACCTCTACTATCTAGAGTGGCGTAAGGACATGCCGTTTTGTACTATTGTTTACCAGTCTCACCATGACCGTTGGGAACAATACAACTGTATTTGTGTTTCATATTCTACCATTCAACAAATATCTTCTTTTCAACTATAAAAGAAGTACTTGGAAGAATTTGAAATCAACGAATCAATTCAACAAAACTACACTAAACCGCTGCACAAAAACTCTGTAGAGAAATCTTTTGTATAGTTTTATAAATAAACAAGAAGCTTTTGTTTGTATCTTGCTATCAGCACTTTTGTGTTACTATACTTAAACACTGTGTAATCTGCTTGTGTAGAAGCATCTTTGTATACACATCTTTGTAATCAACTATTGTTGATAGGTTCTTTGAGAGACTCTGTGTAGTCTAGACTCTCAAGAAGACTTTGGTTGCAGTCATAGTGGTTTACAATAAGGATCAACAAACTTATTAGGGGTTCCAATATGGTTGATTGAGCTTATTGTGGTTGTCTATAATTTGATTGATTATAAAAGATTAAGCCCATGTGTATAAGAAAAATCACCTTGCGGGAGTGGACTGGAGTAACTTAGCTAACAATGAACCAGGATAAAAATAATTATGTTCATCTATTTTTATTCATTTATTATCTTTGTAGTTGAGTTGCAAAAACCCAATTCAAATTCCATTTTCTTGTGTTTCTCGTACCTTCATATATATATATATATATATATATATATATATATATATATATATATATATATATATATATATATATATATATATATATATATATATATATATATATATATATATATATATATATATATATATATATATATATATATATATATATATATATATATATATATATATTTCAAACTAAAATAATAAAAATAAAAATTGAAGATAAATTTTTGTGTAAAACAAGAAAAAATAGAAGATGAGCCTATACCTATGGAATTCTACACTCACGAAAGTGATATGCCAATAAAGATAACTATCAACTAAATCATATACCTATAAAACTCTATACCCACAAAATCCATAAGTTATTTTTTTAATATATGATCTTATATCTATTGTAATGAATTTATGTAGGTATATGCCACCTACATCCACAATTTTATCAACCATAACTAACAGTGTTCATTGATATATGATAATTTTTTTGTTTAAGTATTTTAAAAGAGAGAGAATTTATATATCTAATGTTATAAGGTTTTGAGTGAACATTCGCTACCGCTTTCACTTAGATGATTATTCTTGACTCAATTTGAAGGTTTCTCTCTTGACTCATCAATATATCATAAGTAATAAGGGTACATGTTACAACATTTATAAGAAAAACAAGGTACAAGTAAATCGAGATAAAATCATGAGCTTTTTTATATATAATATGACATGAGAAAGCTAATCTGTTCTATCATGTTCCATTTCATTTAATTTATTATTACAAATTCAAACAATATAATATATTATATACCACTCCATTTCATTCATCACATTCTACTCATTCAAACAAGTCCAAAAATCTTATATTAAAATTTGATAATGAATACTATATTGAAATTTAATAATAACATATGATCTATTTGATGATAATCTTTTTATCACAAGTTTAAATTTTATTTTACTAATTTATAATTTATTAATTAATTTATAAATTATTAATTATCCGTCATCGATCCTAATTATAACTTATAAATTATCTTACTATTTCAAAAAGAGCTAAGTTTTATTTGCAATTAAGAGAAAATTATAATTAAAAAATAGGAAAGAATTGTATCTCTCTCTCCCTTCACGTGCGCGGCAGAGCCCGTTTCTTCTGCCGCATCATCTCCATCTTCCCACCATTGACCAAACAAACTCCACCGTGCAACAGAGACTGTATTAGAGAACTCCGTCGCGGACACGATCCATTTTCCCCTCCGTGGAGCCCGTTAGTGCTATCTGCATTCGTACGGTCTTCCTATTCCAATAGGTACAATTTCCCCTAAATTCCACAACCCTAAGACTTGAAAGATGCTCCTTTCCTATTTTCTATTTCAAAATATGTGCATGTAATACTGTGTTTTTTCAAAATATGTTTTTGTTTGAAGTTAAACTGTATTTCCCTGTGATGATTTTTGTGAGAATTCAAGCATATGTGTTTCTGTGTTGCATGTTAAAATTTGTTGCGTTTTGATAAGTTTTTCTGTGAAAGAGAGGGAGAGAAAACTGATTCTCTGATGACCTTGCTACAGATAGAAGTATCGTTGATGTCAACTTGGCAAGTATAATGGGCTTGGTGGCAGTGACATGGATGAATTGTCTAAGAAGGCATCTTCTGCCAAAAACAAGGTTTCTTCACACCTTGAAAGGTCCTCAATCAGACCAAATTTTAATGTCTCCTGCTCTTGTAACTCTGGACCTTCCTGACATCTGGACTCCTATTTCTTCATGTGAGAGTATTCCGACCATACATAAAAGCGGTAAGCATCTTTGCCCTTGATTTGACAAATCTTTTCTTGCTTGTTTGGTTCTTGAATTCTATTATTTTAGGTGTTTTGATGCTATGTAATGTTAACTCTATCCGTTCATCATTTTTACTTTTACTTATACTTAATTGAGCAAAGGATGGGTTTTGCTGTCATTTGTAGACTCCAGATGGTTATATAGCTTCCAGTTCTCATCCAATGTGAAAAGTATTTTTGTTAATTATTTAACACACTAACAACAAATGAGATAACTTAGTGACCAACCATGAGATGATTTAGTTTTTCAACTACTCTTTTGTATATCTGGATTTGAAAATGTCTAATTTGGTAAAAGTTTGACAATAGGTTCCATCTTAGTGCCATAGGTTTAACTTTCACTAAACATGTTTCCTCTAGAATTTCCATGACATACTTGTATGAGAAATTAATTACAATGCCATCCATGGATTATGTCATTTCATCTCAAGAAGCATTAGACCCACTAAGATCTTTGGTCTGTAAGCGGTGATAAGTATTTCATTGCTTACTGGTGAGAAATATATTCTTTTTTCTGATGAATGCCATGATGATCACTGCTCGTGTATGATATTATCATCAACATACACAACCAATACTCCCTGCTTCTGATTGGCAATAGAAAATAACAGTCTGCCTAACCTTTAGTTATACAAAACTACTAAACAACATTGCTAAATCCACTAAGCCAATCCCTTGGAGACGGTTTGAAGCCATATAAAGATTTGAAACTAGCCCTGAAGACTATCAACATCAAATACATTTAGTTTCTAATTATTAACTTTATTGAGATAACCATGAAAGAAAGCACTCATAATACAAAGGTAATAAAGAGGCTAGTGGCAATTACACCCACTGACAAAAGCTAGCAAACAAAACTCATTATTGCTATTGAGAAAAGGTGTCTCCGTAATCCAAGCCAAAGATTTGTGTATAACATTTAGCAGTTAGTCTTGCCTTGAGTTGATTCAACCTAATCCTTAAGACCAACTTTTACGGGAAAGATCCGCTAACAACCAACAATCAACTTCCATAGAGGAAGAGGAGCAAGATCCTAACTCCTAAATCCATTTCTCTGAAAGTGTTTTACATGCAGTGTCTTAGAAATAGATACATAAGACAAGGAAGAAAAACAAGAAAATGTGAAGCTGACAAAAGTCATGATAGGTCAATGTAATGAAGAGAAGGATTATGTGTGGACTGCATGCCTTTACTCATTGCAATAGGAAGATCAAGTTCAGGAGGTTGGGCCAGAGCGAGTGTAGTTAAAGAATAGTCTATAGGAGCTGCAATATGGCAGCATAATGTGCTGGAGGCAAAGCCACATGTGCAAGAGATGGAGGCAATCATCAACGATAAACCGATAAGGGATGAGTAGGAGTAAAATTACCGAGAGTCTGGATGTTATCGGTGGAGTACATCACCTGAGGTGGGAGGAAGAGGTAAAGGGATTGACTTAGACTTGAATGTGTAATGTGGTCCCACTGAAAGGTATTGACTTAGATAAGATAGCATTGGCTGAGATTACATACTTCACGCAAGTATGATACTTGCGTAGATTAGAAAAATTTGTTAACTACATTGTTGTGATTGATAAGCCTAGCTATATATTTTAGTTAACTTAGTTTATATGCCAGTCACGTTACGGGTTTGGGTTGACACAAACTATTTTGCTTCTATTCCTATAAATAGTTTGTTAGAAGCTATCATTCTTTTCTTTTCCTCCTAATATATGTAGGGTCTTGCTAACTTTTTCCCTAAGAGCTCGTGTTAAGGAATCAACAAATAGAAAGTATGTCTTGAAAATAACAATTTTTAACTTAACAAGGAATTGAATACACAATTTCCAATACAAAATTTCTATCTTTTTGTACACTAACAAGTTCCATTAGGGAACATGTTAGCATTTTCCATGTACATATTTGCTTCTTCTGTCCATTTTATTTCATAGGTTAACATTGAAATTTGCCACAGTTAATGAGCAAACTGCTAGGGTTCTTGATGGAAAGTTGATGTCAGCAGAAATCAGATCTAAAATAGCTGGTCAGGTAAGACAAATGAAGAAAAACCTAGGAAAAGTTCCTGGGTTAGCTGTTATTTTGGTGGGCCAGAGGAGGGATTCTCTTACTTACGTTCGCAACAAGATAATTGCCTGTGAAGAAGTTGGAATCAAGTCTGTGGTGACTGAATTACCTACTGATTGTGCAGATGCTGATGTTCAAAATGCTGTCATGAAATTTAACACAGACCCATCAATTCATGGTATTCTTGTCCAGCTTCCTCTGCCACAAGTAATTTCTGAATCTGTGACTTTTCCCCCCCATAATTTGATGAATTTTGCTTTTTAGTATCGGCTTTGTTTTTATTTAAAAAAAGGTGTAGGTGCAACTACAATCTTTCTCTGAATGCATAATTTATCGCATGAATTATGAAAGAAAACTAGAAACTTGTATCATGTATGATCTTCTGTACTGAAACAGCTTGTTTTTGTTAAAATATTTAGAAAATATCGCAATATAGCTGTACTTTGTTGTAGTTGATGTTTTAGTTAGACAATCTCTTAGAAGTTAGAAGTGGTTTTTTAATAGAGAATATGTGAGTCCTACTTCATATTAATAGCCTAGATTTAATTTTCAGTTATATCTTAGGATATGAAAGATCAACACTAGCTTAAAATAATGTTTCATCTTTGATTCACATTTTGCACTAAACTTCCACTAGTGGAGGTTGACCTTTGAAATACCCTGAGTCACGTTTTACACTAAACTTCCACTGGTGGAGATTGGCCTTTGAAATACCCTGAGTTTTATTAGAATAAGTAAGGTCAGTTTTAATTTAATAGAATAAGAAAGGTCATCTTAAATGTAGAACTTGAATGTTCAACTTTTCTTGTATAAATAGAGCATCATGCTCCATTCCAAAATCAACCAAAAACTGTTTCACATTATATAAATTTCTGAATCTATTATGGTATTCAGAGCTTTTTTCGCCACCAACGTGGCTTCATAGATCCTACTTTTTCATAGATCCTACATTTTCGTCTTCCGCTAGTAACTCGTCGTGTTTCTCTAATGGCGAGTTCGTCATCACTAACACTCTCATCTACGGCATCGAGTATTCCTTTCGCTACTTTCAACTACAAATTTACAGAAAAACTAGATGATAAGAACTACCTAGTGTGGCTGCAGCAAGTTGAACCGGTGCTCTGAGCGCACCGTCTTCATCATTATTGTGTTGCTCTGCGAATTCCTGACCAGTTCTTATCCGAAGCAGATCGTCTTGCTGGTAACGTGAATCCTGCATTCACTGTGTGGGAAGTGCAAGATCAATTGCTCTTCTCGTGGCTTCAATCGTCACATGCCGCATCGCTTTTCCCTAGTGTCATTGGCTGCCGTCACACGTGGCAGCTTTGGGACCGGATTCACCAAAATTTCCATTCTAAAGTCAAGGCACAAGCACGATAGTTGAGAACTGAGTTGTGGACACTCAAGAAAGGTACAAACACTATTACTAAATTTCTCGACAAAATCAAGGCAATCTCATATTCTCTAATGTCAACCGGTGAAACAGTTTCTACGGTTGAGCAATTGGATGTTATTCTCGAAGGATTACCTTCAGAATATGAATCTCTAGTTACACTTATAAACAATAAGGTTGATTGGTTTGATTTTGATGAGATCAAACCATTATTACTTGCACATGAACGAGTCATCAAACATAAAATTGTTGAAGAAGTTGCTTCTTTGAATGTAACTCAAGTAGCATCTTCAAGCAATCAGAATGTCACTCCTCAAGCAAACTACACTGCTGACACTCAGTCAAATGACAATTCTAAGTTTGAAAATATTAATTTTGGACGTAATTTTTATGGTGGTCGTGGTCATCGTGGCAGCGGTCGTTTCGGTCGTGGCCGTGGGAATATTCAGTGCCAAGTCTGCTACAGGTATGGTCATGATGGATCCATTTGTTACCATCGCTTTAATACTCAATACACTCCATAAGGTCTGTATCCCGCTGCTCCTGCTTATGGTAACTATGGTAATTCCTATGACAATTCCTATCAGTATGTGAGACCTGCTACTATTGCAAATTACACTGTTAATGCTACAACTCAACTACAACAAACAGCTGCTTGGGCCATGCCTGTGCCTTCAGGTCCTCCTGCCTTAGTTCCTGAAGCTATGTTTACCAGTGCTACTAATCCTACTGTGCCCATTCCTTTCTTTGATACAGGTGCCACAAACAATGTGAGTTTTCAGCCATCACTTAACAATACTGGAGTGCTTCCCCCTCCTCACCTAGAAAACGTCTTTCTAGGAAATGGCCAAGGTTTGCGTGTTCATTCCATTAGCTCTAAGTCCTTTCCATCTCCTATTAATTCTAAAATTCAATTGCGTCTCAAAGATATTCTACATGTTCCTTCAATCACTAAAGACCTAATCAGTGTTCACAAATTTGCTTATGATAATAATTGTTATTTCCAAATTCACCTATTTCATTATGTTGTGAAATCTCAGGCTAATAATGCTTCTCTCCTTCAAGGTCCCGTAGCTGCCAGTGGCCTATATCCTCTAGATAATACCAGTTTCAAGTCTGTTTCATCTCTGAATAATGTTTCCCCTTCCTAAGTGAATTACACTGTATCATCTCACACACTTTGGCATAACCGACTAGGACATCCTAGTTCTGTTACTCTAAATTTTGTTTTGAAGATGTGTAATCTCACTACTATTCCACGAAATAATCTCACTACTAATCTCACTACTATTCCACGAAATAATATTGACTTTTGACTTTTCAAACAGTTCCTATCTGATCTATGCCCTCACACTCACCATCAAAATGGGGTTGTTTAAAGGAAACATAGAGATATTGTTGAGAAAGGTTTGTCCTTGTTGTCTCAAGCTTCTCTTCCCTATCATTTTTGGGATCATGCATTCCATACTGCAATTTATCTAATTAACATGTTGCGTGCCTCACACACTAATCTGATCCATGTCCAAGTTTTGTTTAAAACACCGCCAAACTACGCTTTTCTCAAAGTATTTGGTTGTGCCTGTTTTCCATTGCTTAAACCCTACAACGATCATAAATTGCATTTCAGGTCCTGAGAGTGTACTTTTCTTGGCTATTCACCATTGCATAAAGGCTGCAAATGTCTTGATGCATCTGGAAGGCTATTCATCTCTAAAGATGTGTTGTTCAATGAGGCTGTATTTCCTTTTAACTATCTCAAACTACCTTCACAGTCTAACCTTGTACCCTCCTTCATACCCTTCACCTCTCCTATTGGAGTCGTGTCTCCTGATCCTATATCATCTATCCCACCCATTAGCCCAAACCCAATCCCAGCTTCCACACCTCAAATATACTCACCTGTTTCATCTCACTAGAGCCCTATTCACCTCACCAATAGCCACAACTCCACCTCTCTACCATCTACAGCCTCCAGCACCATTAATCCCAATTCCCCTACCCCATCTACCACACCTCAACTATACTCCCCTGTTCCATCTCACCAGAGCCTTATTCACCTCACTGATAGTCACAGCTCCACCTCTCTACCATCCACAGCCTCCAGCACAATTGATCCAAATTCCCCTACCCCAAGCCCCTCACCACCCGCTCCCATTAATCACCACCCGATGATGACCTGTTCCAAAACTGGAAATCCTAGACCCCGTCAGTTTCCTACCCTACTCTTAACCACCACATAACCTACCATTGTGAAACAAGCCCTTACCTCACCTCAATGGACTCAAGCAATGGAAACTGAGTATAATGCTCTTATGACAAATAACACTTGGACTCTAACTTCACTACCCACTGGAAAGACTGTTGTAGGATGTGAATGGGTTTTTCGTGTCAAAGAGAACCCTGATGGCTCTGTGAACAAATATAAGGCAAGACTTGTAGCTAAGGGTTACCTTCAAAAGTATGGTTGTGACTACACAAAAACCTTCTCACCAGTTGTCAAGCCCGTCATTGTTCGAATTATTCTAACCATTGCCCTCACAAACAATTGGCCTCTCAAGCAAGTTGATGTAAACAATGCTTTTTTTAATGGCTATCTTGATGAGGATGTAAACATGACTCAACCTCCTGGTTTTGTCTCCAATGATGCGTCTCTGGTTTGTAAATTTAACAAAGCAATTTGTGCGTTAAAACAAGCTCCAAGGGCATGGTATGATCGACTCACAAAAACATTAATTAATTTTGGTTTTCAACAATGCAAGTGTTATCCTTCTTTGCTCATATTCAACAACAAGGGTTGTTGCATCTACATGTTTTTCTATGTCGATGATATTATCCTCACTGGTTCCTTACCTACTATGATTCAACAACTCATTACCAAACTAGATAGTGTTTTCTCTCTCAAACAACTGAGTGATCTAGACTATTTTCTTGGAATTGAGGTTAACCGCACTTTCAATGGTAATTTACTGTTGTCTCAAGGAAACTATGTGAGAGATCTCCTGCATAGATGGATGGCTGCAAAAGTATTACTACACCTCTCCCTGCTGCAGTTAAACTCTCTAAAGCTGGTACTGATTTCTTTGCAGATCCAACACTTTACAGGAGCATTGTCGGTTGCTCTACAATATGAATCCTACTTCACATTAATAGTCTAGATTTAATTTTCAGTTATATCTTAGGACATGTGTTAGAATTAATTATGATTGTAGATATTCTAGTGATTGATAGTATTCCTAGACTAAACAACTTTCTAGGTTAGTGCTTATTCTTTAACTAGGTTAGTGCTTATTCATTAAGCTTCAATGTATTTATTGTAATATTAGTACAAATACAAGTAGTGTGATCTCCCTTAAGACACACATAATTTATAGAATTCTATGTGGTATCAGTAGTGGTTCATCCTAGGGCTGTTCTACATTTTTTTTCCTTCTGAAATGTGTCGTCAGTCCAGCCACTGTTTTACACACCTTCTAGCTGTGCTATTTCCAATTCAACCTACCGCTGTGAATTTTTCCGGCGAGCACAACAATCTTTTGGCTGCTGCTGTATTCCAGCCCACACTGTTGCTGTATTCAACCCCTGCTGCTGCCGCATTCCAACCTTGCTGCTGCTGTATTCCGCCCGACACGCTGCTCCAACAACCAGCTTCCGGCACCGACCACCGCAGAGCCCCCTCTATCACATTCCACGTTGTTTTCATCATTTTATTTTGGTGATTTTTCAGCAACTTTTCTTCTTTAATCGCATATAGATCGTCATGTCAAAAGCTAATCGATTCCTGCCAAAAGTTGTCAATGTTGCTCAAACTGAAGACTTTGACACAAGTGCTCTTGTCTCCCTTTCTACCACTGAGTATAATGAGTACCTACATCTGAAGGCTCAAAAGCGAAGACTTTGACACAAGTGCTCTTGTCTCCCTTTCTACCACTGAGTATAATGAGTACCTACATCTGAAGGCTCAAAAGCAAACATCTTCACCTATTGGCTATATGATGTTGAGACTGGTAATCCTATTACCTTTGTTACAAAGTCTTCTCTTCACTTGGACCTTGGATCCTTGACTTAGGAGCCAGCGATCATATGTCTGGTAACAAATTGCTTTTCTCGCATTTGACTTATACGAACACACTCCCGAGTATTACTTTGGCTAATGGATCACAAACCAAATGTCAAGGCATTGGCCAAACAAATTCCATACCCACACTTCACTTGGACTTTGTGCTTTATGTCCCTGAATGTCCATTTAATTTAACATCCATCAGTAAACTCACTCGTACCTTACCTTACTCTGTTGCATTTTCTAATGGTTGTGTTCTTGTGCAGGATCGGAGTACTGGGACGACGATTGGAGTAGGGCATGAGTCTCAAGGTCTATATTACCTTCTAGCACCGACAACACCTATTTCTCGTTCAACCGTTGAGTCTTTACATGTTGTTCATCAACGTTTGGGACATCCTAGCCTTCAGAAGTTACATCTAATGGTTCCAAGTCTATCAAAAGTGTCTACCTTAGAGTGTGAGTTGTGTCAGTTTGGAAAACATACTAGGAGTTTCTTTCCCGACAGAGTCAATAAAAGAGCCACATCTCCTTTTGCTTTAATTCATTCTGATATTTGGAGTCCTAGTCGTGTTATTACATGCTTGGCTTATCAATATTTTGCAACTTTTATTGATGACTTCTCTAGACGCACTTGGATATTTTTAATGAAAAAACGTTCAGATGTATTCTCAATCTTTCAAACTTTTTGCTCAGAAATAAACACACAATTTGGTACCCACATTAAAATTTTGTAAAGTGATAACGCTCGTGAATATTTTGTCTATCTCTTTTCAATCTTTTTTGGCTTCACAGGGAATCCTCCATCAGAGCTCATGTGCTCATACTCCTCAACAAAACGGTGTTGCTGAGAGAAAGAATCAACACTTAGTTGAAACGGCCCGTACCATGCTCCTTCACAATAATGTACCTTCTCGTTTTTGGGGAGATGCGATGCTTACAACTTGCTACTTAATCAATCGCATGCCTTCGTCAGTACTCAACAACCAAGTGCCACATTCTATTTTGTTCTCCCAACAACATCTTTATTCTCTACCACTCTGTGTTTTTGGATGCATATGTTTTGTCCATGACCTTACTCCAAGCAAAGATAAACTTGCTGCAAAATCCCTCAAGTGTCTTTTCCTTTCGTCTACACCGATGTTATTCCCCAGGTCTTCGTCGACACATTGTCTCTGCTGATGTTAGCTTCTTTGAGACCCGTCTTTTCTTCCCTTCTACACCTAAAGAGCCAAATAATTATAGCCAGTCAGAGTCCTTCTCTTAAGAGGTCTTAACTTTCCCTATTGCACTGGCACCTGTCTTTATCCCCGCCCCCGTCCCTATACCCACACCCACCCTTCGCACCTATCAACGGAGGCCACGCCCACCACCCATTCCTCAAGACTCTTGCACTACTCTGACGAATTCTCAACCTCCGCATCCTACACAAGAACTTGTAAAGGTAACATGTTATCTCGAAATCCTAATCCTATTTATGCTTGCCATTTGGATTATCATCGATTATCTAGATCCTATTATGCTTTTGTGGTTTCCTTGGATTCTGTGTCTATTCCCAAAACTACAGGTGAAGCTATGTCTCACCCTGGATGGCGACATGCAATGATCGATGAGATGTCTGCTTTACACTCCAATGATACTTGGGATTTGGTTCCCCTACCTGATTCAAAAACTACAGTGGATTGTCGATGGGTCTATACAGTTAAAATTGGGCTTGATCGAAAGAGTGACCGTTTAAAAGCTCGTCTCGTATACACACAGATCTTTGGCCTTGACTACGGGGACACCTTCTCTCCAGTTGCCAAGATCGCATCTGTCCGTCTTTTTCTTGTTTTAGATGCTATTCACCAATAGTCGCTCCATCAACTAGACATTAAAAATGCTTTTCTACATGGTGAATTACAAGAGGAGGTGTACATGGCCCAACCACCAGGATTCAATGTTAGCGGTGCTTCTCATCTTGTCTGTCGGCTTTGTCGATCTCTTTATGCTCGAAGCAGTCTCCTCGTGCTTGGTTTGGCAGGTTTAGCACTATGCTCCAAGAGTATGGCATGAGTAGATGTGAAGCTGATTCCTCTGTCTTCTTTTTTGCATTCTTCACTAACTACTTGCCTCTACCTGTTGGTCTATGTGGATGGCATCATCATCACTGGCAATGATAAGGATGACATTCGGCGGTTAAAACAACATTTGTCTCTACACTTCCAAACTAAAGATTTGAGGCCACTAAAATATTTTTTGGGGATTGAAGTTGCTCATTCCAAGAGTGGTGTGGCTATTACTCAATGAAAATATGCTCTTGATATACTTGAGGAAACTGGATTGCTTGATTACCGACCTAGTGACACTCCTATGGATCCTAACGTCAAGCTACTACCAGGTCAGGGGGAGCCACTGAAAGATCCTGGTAGATATCGACGTCTAGTTGGCAAACTTAATTACCTTACAGTGACTAGACCAGACATTACATTTGCTGTCAGTGTGGTTAGACAATTTCTAAATGCTCCATGTGATGACCATTGGAATGCTGTGATTTGCATTCTTAAGTATATAAAGAGTGCGTCGGGTAAAGGATTACTTTATGAAACAAGGGTAACACCCAAGTCGTGGGTTATTCTGATGCTGATTGGGCAGGATCACCGTCTGATAGAAGGTCCACTTCAGGGTATTGTATTCTCATTGGAGGAAATTTGATCTCATGACGGAGCAAGAAATAGAACATAATTGCACGGTCTAGTGCAGAAGCAGAATACCGTGCTATGGCAGCGACAACATGTGAACTCACGTGGCTAAAACAATTACTCCAGCAACTCAAATTAGGAGACATCAAGGCAATGAAGCTAATTTGTGACAACCAAGTTGTACTTCATATCGCCTCCAATCCGGTTTTTCATGAAAGAACTAAGCACATAGAGATCGGCTGCCACTTTGTAAGAGATAAGGTTCTTTCAGGAGAAATCGTAACTGATTTTGTTGGTTCAAATGATCAATTGGTTGACATATTTACTAAATCCCTTAGAGGACCTCGGGTTGAATCTATTTGTAACAAGCTTGGTGCATATAACATGTATGCTCTGGCTTGAGGAGGAGTGTTAGAATTAATTATGATTTTAGATATTCTAGTGATTGATAGTATTCCTAGACTAAACAACTTTCTAGGTTAGTGCTTATTCATTAACTAGGTTAGTGCTTATTCATTCAGCTTCAATGTATTTATTGTAACACTAGTATAAATACAAGTAGTGTAATCTCCTTTAAGACACAGAATTTACATAATTCTATAATATGAAAGATCAGCACTAACTTAGAATGATGTTTCATCTATGAGTCACATTTGCCCTAAACTTCCAGTAGTGGAGGTTGACCTTTGAAATACCCTGAGTCACGTTTTACGCTAAACTTCCACTGGTAGAGATTGGCCTTTGAAATACCCTGAGTTTTACTAGAATAATTAAGGTCAGTTTTAATTTAATAGAATAAGAAAGGTCATCCTTAAATGTAGAACTTGAATGTTCAATTTTTCTTGTATAAATAGAGCATTATGCTCCATTCCAAAATCAACCAAAAACAGTTTCACATTATATAAATTTCAGAATCTATTATTTTTAAATTTCATTTTATTTCTTGATTTGTCCCATTATGTTGAGGAAAACCTGGAAAAACTATAAGAGAAACTATTAAGAACTCGAGATTAACGAATTTGATAGAAACATGATCTTGGGAACATTATGGTGGAATTTAATCCATGGAGCTAATCCACTTAGTGTGATAAGACTTGATTGTTGTTGTTGTTATTTGTCCCATTTTGTGATGTGTTTTTCCCTTGAATTTTAATAACACTTTCTCTTTTACTTTGATTACGTTGCACCACCAACAAAGCAATTTTAATAACACTTTCTCTTTCACTTTCTCTTTTGAGTTAATTTGTTTTTATCTGCTCCTTTCTTGTTTACATCTTTTATATTATCTGGCAATGGCTATTAATGAGCGTTGTAATAGCTATAGCATTATAAACCATGCTAGTTATGCAATTTTATTATCACTTTGAAATCCTTGAAGTAATTGGCATCACAAGTCTACGATTCTATTTTTACTTTCCATTTCTCCATCAATTATATTTTATTGACAAACGAACACCGACCGAGACTATCCTCTTCCATCAGTTTTGAATTTGGAGCAGTACCGTGACTGATTTGTTGCAAAATGTTTGGGACAGCATCTGGACGAGGAAAAACTTTTGGATGCTGTATGTCTTGAAAAAGACGTGGATGGTTTTCATCCTATTAATATGGGGAATCTTGCTCTAAGAGGAAGGGAACCATTGTTTATTCCTTGTACTCCAAAGGCCTGCATTGAGTTGTTGATCAGATCCGGAGTTAAGATTGCAGGCAAGAGGGCGGTAGTGATAGGAAGAAGTAATATTGTTGGTCTACCAACATCATTATTATTACAGGTAAAAGATTAAATCAGTAAGCATTGTCAGATTGAAATCACGAAATCGTGCTTTCACCATATTTTTCTTTTTAAGTGTGACACTTTTTTTTTATGTTGGCAGAGACACCATGCAACAGTCACCATCATACATGCATATACTGAAAACCCTGAACAGACCACGTCAGAAGCTGATATTGTAGTTTCAGCTGCCGGAGTTCCTAACTTAGTCCGTGGGAACTGGATAAAGTCTGGTGCAACTGTGATCGATGTTGGAACAAATCCTGTCGAGGTAAGCTTGGTAGTTGCTACTTGATTTATATATTTCTCCACATTTTGCTTGCTGCTGAATATAACAGTTAACCGTTTTTATGGATAAAATGTGATAGGATCCTAGCTGCGAGGATGGTTATCGTCTAGTTGGTGATGTATGCTTTGAAGAAGTCATAAAGGTGGCATCAGTTATTACTCCTGTGCCTGGTGGGGTTGGACCTATGACAGTTACTATGCTTCTACTAAACACTTTAGATTCTGCTAAACGTATGCTTAATTATACTTGATCTCCCCCCCTTTTGATTTTATTGCAAATTTTGTTGAATTTGTCTCATCAAAAAGTTAATAAAGTGTAAACCAAAGTGATAAATTCGTTTTCAGCCAAAAAATGGTGAGAAAATCAGTAGTTATTTTAAGGAATTCGGAATTTGTTAACAGCTGAAGACCACACATACAATGAATAGATAGAGTAAATATCAAAGTATACTAGAAAATTCTAGTCTAAGTATAGTTTCCATTTAGAAAAAACTGACTACACTAGAAAATTCTAGTCTATATATTGTTAGAACATTTCTCACTCTAGAATGATAACATGGTCCCTACAAATATATTATCTGCAATTAATTTAAACCATTGCATGTATGAGTATATTATATATGTGATTTAAACCCTTGCATGTATGAGTATATTATATATGTGTGTTTGGAGAATCATCATATTCATATACCCTTTTGGTGAATCTTTTGCCAATATGTGTCCCCTAACCCGCAATGAGTTAGAACTGATTTTTGAGAAGCTAGATTTAAACAGTGATGGATTTGTAACCCTTGACTCCTTGAGGAGCTGAACCAGTTACTAAAGAGAACAGGTTTCTAAGTTTAGCATAGAGGAGCTTGAATCTCTTGTGGGAGTGAAGAGTCTTGACACGAGTGAGTTCATGTTATTTTATGACTCCATGGATGGTGAGGAGGTAAAAGTGACCTTTTGAAGGCTTTCAAGGTGTTTGATTTGGATGGAGATGGATTCATCACTAGTCATGAATTGGAATGTGTGTTGAAAAGGCTTGGCATGTGGGGTGAAGAAAAGGATTTTAGATCAATGATTTACTCATATGATACTATTTTAGATGACAAGCTTGATTTCAAGGAATTCAAGAAAATGATGTTGCTTGCACTAAAACGTATTTAGGATTTAACATTTGCTAAATAGAGAAAGAATTGTAACCATTAAATTTTAGGGTATTTTAGTAAAAGTGCAAATGTTAGAAGTATATTAATTGAAGTCATGTTAGAAACTAATAAATGGTAGGTCGAAGGGCAGTTTGTTTTAGTTTTAAAAAAAAATGTTTTTTTAGTGTTACATATTTTAGTTTAAAAAAATTTGTAAAGATTTTTTTAAAATATTAAATAAAAAATTGATTTAAATAGTTTTTTTTAATGTTATTTTAAATATTTTATCTTTTTATTATTATATATTTGGACATTAAAATTTTAAAAAATTATTTAAATTTGATGCTATTTTAAGATATTGCATTTTGAAAAGTTATGATTTTAACTTAGTTTTAAATTTCATTAATCTATATTTATAAAAGTTCCTATGATGTCTTAACATGTGTCATGACATTGTGTGTTGTGTTGAGACGTTAGTGTTGACATTTGTGTTAAAGTGTTAGGATATATATATATATATATATATATATATATATATATATATATATATATATATATATATATATATATATATATATATATATATATATATATATATATATATATATATATATATATATATATATATATATATATACTGGTACTTTAACACAAATGTAAAGACTAATATCTCAACACAATGTCATGACACATGTTATGACATCATCTGTTGACAGAATTTTTTATCAAAATAGAAAAATATGCAGAAATATTTTGCAGAACACAATGAATTGTTAATCCAGTTCAGTCAACTCATATATTCTGTGGACTTCTAAGTCGGAAAGGAAATCCATTATAATAGTATTAATTTAAAGTCTAAACAATTTCAGTTTATAACTTATCACTTAATCATGATAATATGCAATTTCTACCTAGGAATCAACTAGATATGAGAATCTCCTCTCCCTCTCAATCACCTCAGTGATAACTACAGTCACAAACCAGTGACTAGACTGAAATAAAAGATTACATTTCAAATACAATACTCAAACTCTTATGTTTAAAAGCTTCAAGAGTGAGAACAATAACTTGATAAACTATCAAGTAACAATCAATCAAACTCAATGCATCAAAAGGCATACGAGGACATACAAATAAAAACATACTCTCTCTTGAGAACCCTTAAACCCTAAAACTCTAGAAAAACAAGTTTCCTCTTATTTTTTTTTAAATTCTTAATGAAAATAAGTTTATGTAATTTCTTTAAATACTTCTCAGTAGTTCATGGATTTTGAATCTTCGCCCAAATATTCCTTGATCCACAAGCTGAGAACTGCACCAATTGTGCAGAAAAATCTCCTTAAATCTTAGAACAAAACATCAAGTTTTCTAAATTGTCTCAACATTCAATTTTAGAAACTTATGTAGAATTGGAAATCAAATTACATGTTCCAGATTAAATCTTCTTAACCTGCAAAAATTAGTGAGATATATCCAAAAGGAATCTCACAAAATCAAATCAAATATGTCAAGATTTACAATAATTTGTACCGATGTTCTGATATAACATGTTACAACATCTGTAAGATCATTTGTCTTTAATGAACCTGACCGGCATGTTAGAACATCTTCCATTACATCTTTATTGTGAACCATGTTTTAGCAAAATTGTGTCAATCTTAAAAACATGTTACTAACAATCTTCCCCTTTGGTAAATTTTGGTTAAAACAACCATTGCACAAATATCCTAGGGAGAGGAATAAAACCACAAATCAGACAGGTGCATTACTTCCCCTGTCTACATAATCAGTCCTCCCCCTCAAGAGAAAACTCACATCAGAGACACATGCAACAGAAAACAAAAATAAGCCTAAAAAACAAACAAAGATCTAGAGTAACAAGGGTTCTCGATAACACATTAGGCAAGATGTCAGAACATATAGTTTGACATCATTGCACACATACACCACATCAGTAGCAGCAACAAAGGCATAAACAAGCATGATAAACTATCATGCTTCTCCTAAATAATTACATACAACAAGCAACCACAATAACTACTATCCCATAGCAGTAGTACAATCCTATCACAATGCTAGTCAACATGACAAGACATGTGACATGACATTAGGACAAACAAAAACACACTAACACTTTACTCTCTATTTTTAGTTAAAAATTGACAAAAAATAGAGTAAATGTAAAAACATAAAATCAGAAGCATACAAATTGCACACATGCAATATCACATATGAAAGCACACATTCATAAACACACAGATGGAAACAAAACAAAATTGGATGGAAACAAGCGCAAACAGATGGAACTTAAGGTTTCTAAAAAATGCAGATTTCTAGTTCACCCCTAAGCTTTTCAAATTGATTTGCATCTAAAGCTTTGGTGAAAATACCAGTCAGTTGTTTTTCAGTGGCTATATGTTCCAAAGTAATCACTTTATCTTCAATAAGATCTTTGATAAAATGATGACGAATGTCAATGTGCTTAAGCATGCTATGTTGAATAAGATTATTTGAAATATTGACAACACTTAGATTATCATAGTATAATGTTATGACATCTTGATTGATATTATATTTCTTCAACATTTATTTCATCCACAGTAGTTGTGAACAATCACTTTCAACTACAATATACTCAGCTTCAGCAGTAAACAAAAACACATTTCTATTTCTTACTAAACCATGGGATCAAGTTATTTTCAAAAAAGAAATATCCACCAGAAGTACTCTTTCTATCATCAGCACTACCTGCCTAATCTGCCTCACAATACTCTATCAGCATGAAATTTGAACCATGAGAGTATAGCATGCCATAATCACTAGTACCATTGATGTACTTAAAAATCCTTTTCACTTGATTGATGTGACTTGTTTTTGCCTCAACTTAATATCTTGCACAAACTCCAACAACAAAGGTGATATCAGGTCTGCTAGTTATAAAGTACAACAAACTACCAATCATGTTTTTGTATAAATTTTGATCGACAATAACACATTTTTCATCTTTTGACAGTTTCAAATGAGTAGGAGAGGATGTCCTTTTATGACTTGCATTTTTCATCCCAAACTTGTTTACTATGTTTTTTTTTCATACTTACTTTGAGAAATAAAGATAAAATCATCCATTTGTTTTATTTGAAGTCCAAGAAAATATGTCAATTCACCAACAAGACTCATCTCAAATTCTGACTGCATTTGTTTGATAAAATGTTGGACCATATAGTCTGACATCCCTTCAAACACAATGTCATCAACATATATTTAAGAAATCATGAGTTTTTCATCCTTCTCCCTGACAAACAAGGTCTTGTCTATTCCTCATTTTCTGTAGTCATTGTTGACAAGGAACTTTGTCAACCTCTCACACCAAACTCTAGGAGTTTGCTTCAATTCATATAAAGCTTTCTTTAGCTTGTACACATGATATGGATAAGTACGATCAATGAACACCTTATGTTATTCAACATAAACCTCTTCATGTAAGTATCCATTCAGAAAGACACTATTTACATCCATTTGAAATAGTTTAAACTTCAATAAGCATGCAACTCCTAACAGCATCCTGATGGACTCAAGTCTAGCAATTGGAGAAAAAGCTTCATCAAAATCTATCCCTTCAATCTGAGTGTAGCCTTGTGCCACAAGTCTTGCTTTATTTCTAGTGACAACTCCACTTTCATCAATTTTGTTCTTCTACACCCATCTTGTTCCAATGACATTTATTCCACTAAGCCTAGGAACTAAATCCCATACTTCATTCCTCTTGAACTGAATCAATTCTTCTTGCATGACATTGATCCATAATTCATCAGTTAAGGCTTCCTTCACATTCTTGGGTTCAATATTAGACACAAAGCAAGAGTTAGAAACAACTTCTCTTGATCTAGTAGTGATCCCTTGATTAGAATTTCCTATAATGAGTTCTTTGGGATGACATTTTTGAATTCCGATTAAAAGATCCTTATTGACTTGATTGTCATCAAGTCCAACATCGGCATTCTCAGCATTGATGTTATCCATTTCCATATCTTCTGACTCATCATTCATTTGGAATGATGTTCCAATATTGTCTTCAACATCATGATTGCTATCTATGCTTGAGTCATCAACCACAACAT